AACACTGGATACACAGTATTGAGATAAAGAGTGAGACAGTGTGTTCTAGAGAGAAGAAACTGCATAAGCAAAACCATGCAGGTGAGGGAGCCCAGAGAACATCAGAGAGCAGTAAGCAAGGTCAACTGAATGGTCCCCTGAGCAGAGGATGGGTATAGAAGGTAAGACTGGAAAGGTAACCTGGGACCATGTGTAATTTAGGATGACATCCTGAATTTTATTTAATTCAGAAGGCAATGAGGAACTATTAGAGAACTAAAAGTGGTTTTGAACTGAGAAATAATAGGAGGTTCAGACTGAGAGCATCGTTAGAATAGCCTTCTGCTCATCATTTTTTATTTTCCAGTAGACATGCTGATGTAATGGAGTACAATCCTGAAAGCAGCTGGACTTATATACTATTCATGATAATAAAAAGAAAACTTTCAGTTTGATCACTACCCCATAAAAGTAACTGTTTTCTTTATTTTTCCCCCAAAAGAAATTAATTACAGTATGCTTGTCCTCTGCCACACAACCTTTTAAATACTATGAAATAAAGTAAAAATGAACACAAAAAGTAGCCTTTCAAATAGAGAAATCATAAGGTAATATGGATTTGAGATGTACATGTGGAAATTGAGGAGAATTTTGCTTGGTAAAAAAAAAATTAGGTTGAAGGGGAATTAGAAATCAATTGCACATGTCTATGTGGCAAAGTTCTTTTTTTAGCAATTTCTGTATGTCCTCATACATGTGACAGGAGTAAAGAAGCCTTCAAAAGGCATGGCCAAAGGTACTTACCAAGTTGTTCTTTGTGCTAGAGATAGGCTAAGTCTAGAACATCAGAGTCTATTTATGAATTTAAAATATATTCAGAGAACCACTAAAGAAAAACTAACTGCTTTTGGTGAATAGAAGCTTTTCTGTGGGCACAAACAATGGGTCTGGCCAGTTTTCCTCAAACTGTATTCCAACAGTACCTGCATCAGGACAACTAGGGATGATTCCCTAAAATGTATGTACCAGGGCACCCTCCAGATGCAGAAAATCAGATATGAAGTTTTAAAATTTCCTAGGTGGTTTGTATATATGTCAAAGCTTTTGAATCTTTGGTCTCCTGGAAGGATACCAAAACAAAACAAACTGATTGGCTGAAGGATAGAGGTGGGAGGGAGACTTTTTATTAATTGTAAACTCTTTTATGCCTTTTGAATTCTGAATTTTTCACAAGCAAAATTAAAAGAATGAGCATCATTTTCATATATGCACCCCCAGAACCAGGTAGAGAATATAGCAGATAGGCTGAAAAAAAAATGTTTGTGGTTTTGAACTGAACAGCATTGTCATAAATGGCATAGATTGTAATGAATATTATAAGTAATAGACTCTTTTATACCTCATTTCTTCTCCCCTGCTCCTGGCCTTCTCAAAAGACACAGAATAATTACTGTATTGTCAACTGCTTTTGCAGTAGGACCCATGATTTACTCCTTATTCTTCTTGGTAGTGATTCATGTATCTCCAATACCTGGAATGGACTAGATTCACGACGCTGAGGCTGAGAGAGTAAAGATTCCATATCCTTCTCTCGGCCACTCTTTTATGAATGATATCTCATTTGCTTACTCAGAAATACCAGTGAATATAATAATTAGTATTATATTTTTTACAAAATATAATCTTTTTTTTACAAAAAAGATCTTTTACAAAAAAAATCATAGAAAAGTATCTGGTTATTATACATATGTATGTGGATCAAGCTTGAAAGACTTTTTTCTCACTTGTTAGATAAACCATGCCTTTGGCACAATCTCCAGTATTTGAGTTTTAAGCATTACTTAGTAACAACTAATTATTCATAGTGTACATATAGGTAACAACTAATTATTCATATTGTATATATAGGAAAAACTGTTTAGAAATGGAATTGTAACTTCTTTTGACATTTTCCTTCTATTGGATTCTGCATATATAATAAAGAGAATTCATTTTGATACATTCCATTCTCTATAAAAAAAAAAACCCTGCAGTTTTGTGCTACTCTTAAAATTATAAGGTATCATCTTTAGGGAAAGACTAATACAGTTGACCCCTTAACAATATGGATTCAAACTGCTTGGGTCTACTTATAAGCAGATTTTTTTTCAGTAACAACATTGGGAAATTTTTTGAATATTTGAGACAATTTGAAAAAATTTGCAAATGAACTATATAGCCTAGAAAAACCAAAGAAATTTAAGGAAAAGGCATGTCAGGGATGCATAAAATACATGTACATACCAGCCTGTTTTATCATTTATTACCATAAAATCAACAGTAGTCTATTAGGTTATGTTTTGGGGAAAAGTTGTATACAGACTTTTGACTGTGCAGGGAATGGCTCTCCTAACTAACCTTTGCATGACCCCTGCATCATTCAAGGGCCAACCTGTCTATTTCCCTGAACTGGTAACCTTTTCAAGCTTCTTTGTTTCTTCCTATTCCATGCAGAAATTGTTGTCAGGTGAGGACTTGCCAAGAAGTAACGTGACACTATAGTTGTCAGGTCATAACAAGAGTAAAGAAGAAATACTGTCTGTAAAGCAAGCTAATTTTTGACCAATTTCATATATCTCTTCTTACCAGTCCTGTTGCCTGTTGTGCAAACTCTCCTAACTAAAAAGTAATAAAGAAAACTTGGAGAGGTTACATATTCAGCAAAATATATACAAAATTCCATATGTAGAGAGAATATCATGATTCAGCAAAAAAAGACAAAGTTTAAAAAGAAATTGAAATATTTTATGTCCTGATCAATTACATTTCTTTAGAAGCACAAAACAAATCCCAGACTTGAGTCCAAAGTCTAAAAAATGTCATGAGGTAACCTGTGTTACAAAACCACTTTGAAACAGTAAAAATCACTGTTAAAAAAACTGTTAAAAATCACTCTGAAACAGTACTTTTGCTTATGGTACACTTCACATTATATTAAAGTAGATACACAAAAATAGAATTGAAAACCTGGGAAAGATTCCATGGTTGGAGGCTAAGTAGCTTTTCTTTTACAGGGTTAAGTTCCATACCTGCTAAGTATTACCTTAATTCTTGCCAATCAGCTTAACTTTCAGTAAAAGCAATGTTATTAATTAGTTCCTAACTCACTATGGGTTGCCTCTGTCTTTACTAAAGGAGCATTTTTTACTTTGTATACTCATGCAAATAAAAAAGTGACACTCTACTTTAACTGTCACAGCAGAAACTGTTCTCTGAGGTTGGAAAGTAAATTCAAAAGGAAGTCAAATATTCCAGTATCACAGTCACATAGTATCTCTAACTTTCCCATTTTCTGTCCAATGCAGATGTTATTCAAGTGAAATACAGACACATATGTTTATTGATGTCTTTCATAAATATAAGAAATTCTAAGGAGTGGCTACTGAGTAACTGGGTTAATATCTTTTTTAGATTGTATTAAAATTTTTCTCTTAATAAAAAAGCAACTTGAAATAACATTTTGATATTGTTGCTGAGCTACACTGCACAATGTGGCATATAAAACAAATGATGAAAGACTGCCTCTAACAGATATTAGAAAAGAACTTTCAAATTTAAGTATGATTTTCTTAAGTCTCTCAATACTACTGTTGTAATAAGTTTTGGAGGATAAAAAGAAAAAGAAAAATTTAAGGCTCATTTTTCAGAAATAGCCAACATGATAAAATTCTTATCAGTCCATGACTGCGTCAATCTGATGGCAGCTTTTGAAATCACCCTCAAGGTATTATATTTGTGAAAGTACTAAGATTTAATATATGTTCAGACAAGGTGAATAGAAACACAGTTAAATATGCCTGATCACAGCTGAAGCTTTTAGTGTGAAGGCCAGCAGGATTTGTTCTTTAGAATAAAGAATATCACTGTTTCCTCTTCTTCATAGTTGTAACTACATTTTTTTCTGATTCATTATATCAAATCTTAATATAACCTTTCATATCTGCCACTTTACTTCAATATATTTTCTTGAATATTTCTTTCAGTCTCTTAATGAATAAAACTATTTTATTCATTATTATGATTATAATAACCATTATTTCTATTCATTCACATGACATTATATATTTTAGGAAAGTATCACATGAATTATTTTTATGATTTTTTCTACAGCAACATAAATGCCACAATGATTTTCTTTGCCACTGAAAAACTCATTTTTTCCATTTGTCAACAATAATCAACAAAAGCTTTATGTATATTCACTTAAAGCAGTAGCTTGAAAATGCCCATTCTACATTTTAGACCAATTTAATCAAATCAACAGAATTCAAATTTTTTTTTCAATGTATAGATTCAGCTTAGCTGCTTCCATAGGAAGAGTTGATATTATGGTTAGAAAACTTTTCTTAAGGGAGGTATTTGATAGTGGGAATAGTAGACCTAATGACTATAGGAAAGGGGTTCAGAATGTTATTGACAGAGAATAGTTAGCAGTTATTTTATTAAAAATTCTGTCACTAGTCTTCTGTCATTGTGACCTCTAAGCAATACAAACCACAAGATATTCAGTTAATGCTAATAATGATTAACTCATTGATTACTTATATCCCTTAACTTGAAGTGTTACCTTACAAGCCAAATTAAGCAGATTGAATTACAAAACCCCAACCTCCTGGGATTCTACTGCCTCAAATTAGAAATAGTTCACATATCATGAATCTATTATGTATAAAGATCTAGGATAAGTTATTTAGCACCAATCTAACTGCAAAAACTATAAGGCAGTTGGACTCATTTTTGTTATGAAATAGATTAAAATCTCAGAAAAAAAATGCTCATCAGGACTTGCTAAAAAAATACCATCCAGTATGCATTAATATAATGAAAGTATTTGGAATATGTCTAAAATACAAAACATATCATGAATTGAAACCCTGTGCTAAAACTACTTAAGAAAAAACTGGCACTGATTGCACTGTCCCCTAAGGTTAAAGTAACTTGTGTTTATAACTGAAATAATGGAATTCATTTGCCTTTTCCAGATCAGCATTTTCATGACCCATTTGTCCAACTATGGGAATGACCGACTGGGATTATATACATTTGTTAACCTGGCCAACTTCATGCAGAGCTGGACCAATTTGCGACTTCAGACTCTGCCTCCAATGCAGCTGGCTTATAAGTATTTTGAGCTCTTCCCTGATCAAAAAGACCCTCTCTGGCAGGTGAGATTGGTTCAATAATTGGTATAATTAACCCCACAACATATGTTGGAGTGCCTTAAGATAATCCAGATCTGAAAAGTGTAGGCATTGGGGTGAAAAAAGCTACATTTTGGTAATGTTAGATTTAAGGACCTACTTCTTTCTGAGCTGTAGTCTTACATTATTGCTTAATAGTCAGCCAAATTCTTCTTCCCATGCTCATTAGAAATTATGGAATCCTGAAAGCTCACTGTGGTTCAGTGGATGTAATGTTTTCGATCAGGAATGGGGGGCTGATTTGGAATAGGCTAAATGAGTGGAAGATGGTAAATGGGTGTGTTAGGCAGGTATCCAGCTGGTAAACCTTGGCATTTGCCCATATCTTGACTAAATGACATAGGAGGAAAAGTTAAAAGAGTTCAAAACTGACATGTAACTTCTGAACTATGGGGTTCAGCAGCTGCAGAACATGGGATGCTTTCAAAAGTATTAGTCGGAAATTACTTTGGACACAGGAAAAGTGTTTAGTGGCAAAATTATTGAGCTTCCTAAGAGAAAAATATCACAAAAATGTGGCATATTCAGACTGTTCTAGGTGTCACCCAGATTTCAAAGCACACCCTCTCCTGTGTCCTAGAATTCCAGAAACATATTTTGAACTTGCATTGCCTACTCCATTATCTGGGGAAAGTAATAATCTTAGCAAATAATCACATAGTGCTTACTCTGTGTCAGACTGGGTTCTTTAAATATGTAACTCATTTAATCCTTACAACTGCCCTCTGTGGTACGTGTATTATTATCCCCATTTTACAGATGAAGAAGCTGAGACACTTAAGCAAGGTAAGATAGCTAGTGTGTGGCAGGGTGGAAATCAGTCCCAGGCCATTTGGCTCCAGGAGCTGTACTCTCAATCACTGTTCTAAATGTGAGGTACTGAGCTACTACAGAATTACTGATAAAGGTGATGGTTCAATAATGAAGATCTGCAGAAGCTCTGAACTCTATAATCAGTAAGCTCTGACTTCTATAGTCAATTCAGTCAGCTTTGAACTTGAGCTGATTATCTCCTGATCACAGATAAACCCAAGAAGAGGCAGAACTACATATTTTAGTAGGTAGAAATTTGTGGTTGTGGAATTTTCACTGCATATTATTTTGCAGTTGCCATAACACACATCCCTCTCTTTTTTTTAGTCATGGCATTTTTATATTAAAAATAGTCTACTATTAATAACACTGCAAATAGCATTTTTTTTACCTTAACATCTACAAAACATCACCAAATGTTAGCCACTCAAAGATAAGCAATTTTCCTGCTAATTTAACACTTCAATTTTAAATTGAAATATTATTTCAGGTGACAGGTTTGAAGCCAGTTTTTTTCCAGAACAGTAGCCACAAAGAATACCCTCACTTAGTCTTAACATCTGCTGATTATAAATAAACAGAAGGTTTATTTAACTACAAGTATGTACACTATTACTTGAATAGAAATAGAGTGTTTTCCTGTTTGCCCATTTCTGAAATAGTATTAAAGGACATTGTTAATTCTTCACATAATATGCACTTTGCCATTAAAATTAAGAATATTCTAGATACATCTTGCACAGTGGATTTGGTTTAAGTGCTGTAGACCAAAAGCAGATTCCTAAGGTAGTAACTCACACTCATTTCACCCTTTTGCTGAAATTTAGTGCTTTTTAGCATCATAGTCTAAGTTGTAGTTTTAGATATAAATTTACCAACTTCTGATGTCAGCTGAAAGAAATCTGCTGTCTCCTTAAAACAGTAACATTAGGGCCAGACCCACATCCCTTTGAGACACAGAAAGAAAACTCAAAGTTACTTATAATAAAACTCTGACACCTTGTATTTAAGTTACTTATTGGATGCTGAGAATGTATCTTCTTTCAGGCTAGCAGGAAGCACATTCTCTGCCCAGCTAGCTCACTATTTTAACACACAAACACACACGATGTAGAACTGCCAATAGCAAAAAAATAGTAACCCCCTAGTAAACCCCCAGTACTATGAGGCTGCTTACCGATGGGAACAGAAATGTTTCCCCTTCCACACCTGTTCAGTAGACATTCAACTTTAGGATGGAAAGGAATTATTTGAAAGCTTCCATAATGACACTTCAAGGCTTTAATTTAAAAGAAGGAACCACATAGCTGTTTCCTGGATATCTTTTTAAGAACAGAAGTTGGAAAACCCTAGCATCCAATGGACAATAACAAAAAATATATCTCTATATTGTTTCTCCTATTTAGAATCCTTGTGATGACAAACGCCACAGAGACATTTGGTCTAAAGAAAAAACCTGTGATCGCTTACCAAAATTTTTGGTAATAGGACCCCAGAAAACTGGTGAGAACTTTCAATGTTATGATTAACCAGTCAGTAGAAAAATGCTCATGACTAGACAATGAGTTCTTGTCACAATAAGTTCTCAAACTTCCTATAAATACTGATGAATGAGTGGTACATTTTATTCTCTGACATAATCTTTGTTTAATTCAATAAGGTCTTTAAATGCTTGCCAAAGTGTTTTTTAAAAAGAAAAAGATAAAAGTAGTTGTGATACAGTTTGAATATCCAGCAATTTGATGGCAAATGTCAAATTTTCCAAAGATCTTAATTAAAAAGTGTTGCTTAACATTTCTTAAATCAAAATGATGTGCTTAAAGAGTGACTGACAGAATTTCATCAAAAGTTGAGATGGACACATAGAAGTACTTATAACTCTTCATAATAAATTCTTTCCTGAAAAAGAGCCCCTTCCTGCCATCTTCCTTATATTGTATATTTCTAAACTATTTCTTGCAAAGATGACTATTTTTTAAAAGTCTAAAGGATGTTTGACAACCAGAATTCCTAGACAAAAAAACAAACTTTTTACTAAGAAAGGCTTTATTCATCCCAGGAGAAATCTTTGGCACCTTTTCTGTAATTGGCATGCAATTTTTTTTCCATAAGCTGCTTGTTTCTGTGAGAATCTGTATTCAGATGAAGCCCAGTGGGAGCTTTAAAATGCCAGACATTCATGTTCTACACTGCATGATAAATTATTTGGGAACCTTGGATTCTGCCTTCAAAGGAAACAGCCATTTCAACCATATCCCTTCCTAAGGGGAATACATTCCCTCTCCTCATTTCTCTAGTAATAACTAGAGAGAATTCTATGTAATGTACACAGAAAGTTTAGCCTATTCATTTTCTCATAGTCCCATTTGCAAATATCAATCTGAAAATAATAATAAATATGATAAAAACTTTTCTGGCCCTTATTTATTTTATTTGTCCTTATCTATTTAAACTCAAGAGGCAACTAGAAAAATGTTTAAACTAAAGTCTCTTGAGCGAACTCCCAGTGTCACCACATAGCTTTGTCATTACTGATCACATCTCTCTGAAGCTTGACATATCAAGTTTGCTTCAGAAAGCGCTGCACGATATGCTACCTCTTGTTTTGTATTAGATCTGCAGACATGTTAATATCATGGTTTGACGGCAGAATTATTACTTGTCATCTTAAACTCAACTGGGTTTCCAAATGTTTATGTTATAAGTTGTATATGACACTTCCTTTGGATGGGAATTTTATCTCCTTTTTATAAAAATTGAATTTTCCCCAGCATTGTTGAGGTATAACATACATGCAATAAATTTCACCCATTTTAAGTGCAGAGTTTGATGAATTTTGGAAATTGTACACAATTGTGTAACTACCAAACCATTCAAGATGTAGAACACTTTTCTCCCCCTAAACTTTCTCCACATCATTTTGCAGTCAATTCCCCCTCCCCCATCCTCAGCCATAGGCAACCACTTTCTGCCACTATAGTTTTGCCTTTTCTGGAATTTCACGTAAATGGAAGCATAAAGTATGTAATCTTTTCTCTTTTACTTCTTTCACTTCAATTAATAATTCTCAGATTCATCCATGTTGTGTATATGGCAATTCTGTCAAATCAATTTTTTCAATGGACAAAAAAATAAATGCTATTAGTTCATAAAAATTAATATAGCTTTATTAACTTTAGTTCTATCAAAGCATTTTTCTGAATAATTTTGCATAGATGTATAGTTATGTGAATATTCAAATATTTTTAGTGTTGAAACTGACAAAAGTATATATAAACTGAAGCTTTATGGATGGATGGTTGAGGGTATGTGTCTATGATAATGTTGTTTGTATACCCAGACACACACATGACTATTTATGCAGCCCCAAGAATATGTGTACGATAGAATTCAGAAACCACAACTTAACATTTTTGACCACTGATAAATTACATTCTATGTTTACTGTTGATACAGTTAGACCATATCATTTTTTGTTTGTCTTATTAATGTTGGTTATGTTGTTAAAATCAAATAACATAATTTAATACAATTCTTAAAAACAAAATTCAAGAATGTTTTCAGTTGATCTAAGAAAGGAATTAATTTTTTTCACATTGTAATAGCCATACTCCCTCACAAAGATTTTATTCTTTTCAATTTAAAAAAATGTGTTACTGAATTTTATCACAATAAAGTTATTTTTTAAATACCTTACTAATATTCAGATATGGAGCTATTTAGGTACTTTCACATTAGTTATCTTATTTGACTCTCATAAAACCCTGATAGCAAAGTATTTCTTCCTCACCACACAAATAAGAAAACTGAGACTTAGGTTAAATATCTTTTGTTCAAGTTCACTTAGCTAGTAAGTGTTAGAAACAAAACTGATCCTAGAATCTACCTGACTCTAAAGACTATGCTTTATAAAGCTTTACTCTACTATGAATTTCAAGTAATGGAACATTGTTTTTCTAGTGAGTTTTAGGGTTTTGTTACACATTTCTTCTAAGGTGGTTTTTCTCAGAGTGTGCTGAATCAGGAGCTATGAGATCGGGCCCAACTCTCCAGTTTTAGCAAGCCTGTCACATGAATCTGATGCATGCTGAAGTCTGGGAATCACTGTTATAAATTAAGCTTGTGAAGAACATTTTTACTTTGTATGTCATAGATTACTATGGTTCATTCCCTAAGATTATCTGTGATGTAGATAAAATGTTCATTGTTTGGCTCAGATATAATCTAGGAACATGGCCTCTTTCAATTCATTGTTTCAGATATTGCTGTTGACAGAGTTATTTTAACAATTTTTCTCTTGTATTGACATCGTAGATTTAAGTATGATATTAAAGGAAGTATACCAGAGAGAAAAGAAAACTCAAAAGTTGATACAGATGGCAACATGACATTAATATTAAGCAAAATTAGAACAGTAATTTCTCCAAGTGAGAGAGATATATTGTAGGGCATATCTGATTACCATTGCTAGCTATTTACTTCAAATACATTTGACAGGTCCTGTTCATAAGTCACATTACAGTAGAGGTGTAGAGACAAGTATATTTCTCTCTTAAGAATACTGAATACATAGACCAGATACAGTTTTTATATTATGATCTTATAAACACAGTTACAGTTGCAAGCACCTAGTTAAATCTAAGGCATACTGAACTCAGATTGCCTTTTCTCTTGAAGCAGTCTAAGATATATACTTTGGCTCATAATTTAGGCTCTAAAACACTAATTTTATGGTTTATGACATGGCTCACTTTAAAAAAAAGAATCACACCCTTGATTCCCAGTAGTCACAAATCAAAATGGATACCTGTGGTATGCATGCTCTTTCCAAAAAAAATACGAATTTTATAATGTCACTAATTTTATAATGCCATTTTTTTCAAGTTTAGCAATTTAAATAATACATGACACTACTTCTCCTAAGTATGTCTGTACATTCAAATTTAAACAAACTTGTTCAAAATAAGTTCTGTCTCAGATTTAATAAGCTTCTAGGGGCAGAGGGAGAACTTCATAGGAAAACCCAAGTATAGATTTGGTAATGCAATGTATTAAATAATGATATCTTTCATTTATATAGTACATTATTAATATCAAAATATCTTCAGGTACAATGTCTTTTCATCCTTAAAGAAAAAGCCTATGAAATAAGCAAAGCTGGTGATTTTCCAATAATAAAGCCAAGACAAAAAAGCTAAAAGTCTAAGTCACAGACTAAATCAGTGAGTGAGCTGAGGTCCAAACCAGTTCTCCCAATCCCCGCAACAAGCCACTTCATGAACCTCACATTCCATTGCCTCCATGTTTTAAAATTTGCATCTTTTAAAATACTGGCTATCTAATTTAACTCAAGTAGTAGTTATATGTATCTGTTTGTATCATTGTAATAGCTGGTTTATTAATGAGTTTGAAATGTGATAGTAGGAAGCTGTTTTTATTTAATTAATCTCTAAACCTCTATTGTCTTTTCAGGAACCACTGCTTTGTATTTGTTCCTGGTTATGCATCCTTCCATCCTTAGTAACTCCCCCAGCCCAAAAACCTTTGAGGAGGTACAGTTCTTTAATAGAAATAACTACCACAGGGGGATTGATTGGTAAGATGGGTTATTAGTATAAATCTGAAAGTATATGTACTGTGCACAGTATAAAAGTAGCACTAATATTTATAAACATGTTTGTAGCCACAAATAAAAGTTATCCTCTGTGCCTTAGAAACTGACTGAATAACATGAAGAAGCACAGGAATTATTCATAACAAACCTTTCTGAGTTTGCGAAAGAGGCCCACATATAATTTCAATTTGCATTATTTTTGATGATGTACTGTAATACCCAGGAATTTCATTGCTCTCTATTCTCAAGAAAACACTTCCACAGCTTTCTCTTCTTGTGAATGTTGCTTTGAAGTGATGCTATAATACACATATATAATTTTCTATTTTGCTTTGGCACCAAAGTTAAATAAATAAATAGAACTAGAAATGTATATATATATTTCATATGTAATGAAAGGTACAAAAAAGCTATCATCAATACACAAAATTTAATCTTGAATTGAAATTATATCAACCATCTGTGAAAAATGGCTAAATAAAAATTTAAAATATCAACTATACATAAAATATAGGAATATAGTAGGCATAGATGTTACAAATGAACATGTTAATCATGGAATATATCTAGAAGTCTTGTTAAGGTACAAATTCTGGACAGAAAGTGGTATAAAAGAGTGAACTTTTTACAATAATTCTAGAGTAAGAACATATACACTGTGCATACATTTTAGCATAAGGGCTGTTTTATATTAACTGCTACTGTCAAATTACATGATCTCAATTTTGTAAGTATCAACTCCCTCAAGAGTTGCTTATGGACAGTCCTGAATGGAAAGATAAAGATATGGATTGAGTATAATTGAGCACATAGTGGGGTTTACATATATTCTAATTGTTATATATTTCACTGCCAATTCTTCAGTACAGTGCTTTGTATTGTGTAGTGTTAAATAGCATATGTGAGAATCAAGAAACCATCAACTACTCTGTTATTTGACCACTCACTCAAAAATACATACCTGTGTAGAAAAGAATGAAACGATGTTAACATTAGGACGGAAGGGAGTGATTAAAAATTCATTTAGAAGTGGGAAGGAATGAAATATTTGGATACCTTGGGACTCAAAAATACCTGTGAGAATAATTTTTTTTTAAAGCTGTTCATAAGCCAGTAATGTGTATAGCCACTGTAACACAAACAAAAAATCCCCTAAGCAGTTTACAAAGAAATGGCAAAAATAAGTAGAAAGCTGAAGAGCAATTAGAGATTTTAATTATAATTCACTAAAAACATTCCAATTGTAAACACTTTTAATTATATGTTTATATGTTTTTTATGAAAAATTATATATTTATAAAGGACAACTAACATAATAAATAGTAACTGCAGATGTCAATCTATTTGCACAACTATAGCTTTGCTCTCAACGACATCAAATATAGTCATAGTCCTCAAGCTGGCCTCGCCTCTCGAAGCATCAGCACCTCAACAATCCCTTTGGGACCACAAAGCACAAGGCTGGAGATCATGTATCTCAGAATGCAAAGCCACTTACAGAATTAAGCCAGGCTTAGTTAATTAATCTGGATGTTCGGGTCTGCTTTTCTTGAAGAACTGAGTAGCACCAGGGCTGCCTTAACTGACAGGCAGCCCAAACACAGGCTTAGGGCACAAGAAAAGCAGGGCAAATGAAAATGAGAAAACTCCATGTCTGATATAAGCCAGATTTGCAATTAAAATATCTAAGAAAAATGTTTGGTTTATGTATACAGTCAAGTTTTATATTTTATGGCTTGGTATTATTTTTTATAATTGCATGGGGATGCAATGGAGGTTTGGAGTGTTACATAGAGAGCCATAAAATCCTGTTGGCATTTAGAATCTCTAAATATCTTAACGTGGCTTTGAGAAGAATCTCTTAGAAATATTCAGGGTGAACCCAAGTAACAAATAAATGTGGATTCTTAAAAAAATCACATCCTTCAGTTTTAAAAAATTGCTGAGTTGTCATGGAAGCAGCAAAGGTTAAATGAAGTAGGCACTCATTTTTAACCCCCAAATTGTTAAGCCACTCTAATTTGCTCACCAATTCCTTGGATATAAACCAGCATTCACATTCTCCAAATGCGGACCTATTTCTGCCCTAGAAATATGAAACTAAGTTCTTTTTACTTACTTGTTTACTCATCAAACAATTTCAGCCACTACACTAAACAATGTGGGCATATAGGCAAACAAGAACTAGACCTTCTGTTCTCTATCAGCCTCTGACACCAGGCAGAATCAACACATTACAGGTCCAAGATCTGGAACTGCTTGAGGAGGTTTCCTAGGCCTAAACTGTTCCAGGTATAGATGACTGCTGGGAAGATGCAACAGTTTTTAGAAGCTGTCTGAATTCAATACCTTCTGTCCTTCCTTTGTGATTTTTGGAGCCTTTCTCAGAATAAGCAAGCTTGAGACAAGCTTGGACCACAAAAGATACAACTAGATACTTGGCATAACCTTAGCACCCTGGAAACCAGTGTGACCACCTAAATTAAGAAATATTCTGAAATCTGGTGCTTTCTGTAAATAAAATATATGCCAGAACAGACAGCACATCAAACTTCCCAGAAAAGTTTGTATATCTCCTCATCCTAAAGGGTGCCAGAATGACACATCACCAACAAGGTGATTTCCAGAGAACACAGAAGGATTTCTTTACTTACTGCCTAGAGTCCTAAGACATCACCAGGGGAGGCACTAGCCGAACTCTGCAGTATGTTAACTGGAATCCTGCCAGAAACTTTGTCATGTGAGATGAGTAAAAGAGAGCAACACACTACAAAAAGAAGTCATCACAAATATGTTAATGACTCCCCTGTTCAGTAATTATTCAGCTACTTTGTCTTGGTAGCCCAAATGCTTGATGGCTTGTAAATTAAAGAGGGTCAGGGAAGAGAAGGCCATTGTTATCAAATGTAAGAAACATTAGAAGGTAAACTTAGATATTCTCTCTAAAAAGGTTCTTTTTCCTCTAAAAGGCATCCCTTAGTGCTTCAGAAATATCTATTATCATACACTTAGTTTATATTTACCAACTTTTGTACAGAAGGAACATCATGCAAAATCCACTATGTCCTACAGTTCTGTGCTTGAGGCTCTGGGTATTCCTGTGTTCACTCTGCTAGGAATTTGAATTCTCACGTCACTTAAGAATACAGGACCTGACCTTAGGGAATTTGTTAAGATTTTATATTTGGAAATATGTACATACTTTTTTAAAAATTCTGCAATTGTGCTAAAGAATATAAATGGCTCTGTGTGGAAAAAATAAGCAAATAGGCAATATTTACACAAGATCTGTTCTGCACTTTGACACTTGATAGTTAAGCATAACAGCAGCACAAACACATTGGGGGTAATGAAATAATTTTATTTTAATGAAGTAAAAAATGTTTTCTAAGCCCTTGTAAAATGGCTTTGATCCAAATATATCATCTGTTTTCATCAAATTTTTTTTTGGTTGAACACTCACATTTTTCTCTGTAAAATATTTCTGCATTTAGATACATCTTATATAATTAAGTTGATTACTGCTACATTTGATCACTCTGTGTCTACACTTTTGTTATCACTGAGACCTTTTTTCCTGATGTTAAGCAAAATAAAACATATTTAGAAAAGCATTTTCAAAATACACTGTTACTATGTTGCACATTTGGCCTTGCTCACTGTGTGGGACAGATGCCCTAGAGAAAAAGGCTTTTGTTTAGGAAACAAATTTCTGAGTCACCTTTAAACATCTTCAGTCACCAGAGTATAAGTATAAACCAGAAACTTATTTTGAGAAATATTCCTTTTCTAGGTATATGGATTTCTTCCCAGTCCCATCTAATGTCACCACTGACTTTCTGTTTGAGAAGAGTGCCAATTACTTCCACTCAGAGGAAGCTCCTAGAAGAGTGGCTTCCCTGCTCCCCAAAGCCAAGATCATCACCATTCTCATTGACCCATCAGACCGAGCATATTCTTGGTACCAGGTAAGAAAAGTACAGACAGAATCCAGCAGGTAGAAAAGGAATATGGAGAAGAGAGGATGGTTTTCAGCAATAGCCACCATCTTATGTTTTAACAAAAGAGATTTGGTAGTTTTATATCTGCAGAAAACTAGAAAAACTTTTCTTTGTTTCCTTGGAGAAACTTTCTTTTAAGATTGTATTGATTTTGTATCCATTTAATTAATTTATTAAGTAAAATGTAGAAACACAATGAAATTAAAATATGTTCTTGTATCTATGTATGTACTTCTATACATCTGCATTTTAAAAGTAAAATGTTATAATACCTTAAAATCATTATTTTTCATCTAATATGTATATAGTACTATTATTATCTCAACTTTACAGATGAGAAATATAATTGATTCCCCAAAACAGAAGCCACAGGTTTTATCTGTAATGGGGCAAACAGCAAATATTTCAGGCCTTATAGGCCATATTGTTGGTCTGGGTTGCAACTCTACCACTGTACTGTGAAAGCAGATATAAACAACAAGTAACTTTATGAGCTTCGCTGTGTTCCAGTAAAATTTTATTTACAAAACAAGCAGCAAGCCAAAGTCAGCCTGTGGTCTATAGCTTGATGACCTTGACAATAAAAGACCTTAAATAACTGCTTGTATTGAAGAAATAACTTAATAGCAAAACTAAATGTAAGAATTCTTCACCCTGGAGAGCCCAGTTCATCTAAAACCAGTTCTAAGCCTCTTTCTCACATAACTCACTGCCATATATCCAATGTTTGTTGGACCTAGCACAGAACTGATCACTTTGAAATAATTTAACAGACTGTAATAATACACATCTAAGACATTACTTTAATAAATCTAAACTATATAATGGGAAAAAAAAACCTTGTCCCAGTTATATTTTAATCACCAAATGGAAAAAGGTTAATAAAAAGCAGTACAAGAGAGGCTTAAAGATGTTGGTGTGAGAAGTGAGACAGAAACCTCCTCCCAAAATCATATAAAATACAAAAGTACAACAAATACAACCACTCCAGAAAGAGAGACTGGAAAAAAGACTACGACAGACTGCCTACATCTGGGGAAAAGAGAAGACCTCGCAGAAAAGGGTAAAGTAGCAAAACCGCCATCCGTCGGGACCCAAGCCCTTTCCCCACCCAAGCCCATAGGCGAGAGGAAGAGAAATATAGTGGGAAGGGGGTGGAGGCCTAGGACTGCTGGACACCCAGACCTAGAGATCTGCTCCAGGACCATGAACCTACATTACATGGTGCTTTGGAGATTAGTGGGGTTTGAAAGCAAAGACAGGCAGAATACTTGGAGAGACAGATTCCAGCCACTTGTGGAGACCAGGTACCCACAACTGACCATTCTGGGACGAAAGAAAGGCAGGCAACTTTGAAAGACTTCCCAACAGTGGGAGGGCTGCTAAAGGGGAAAGGATTACATAGAGCTTGCTGCTCAGGAGAAAGGACAGGTGGACAAAATCACACTCAACACAGCAGGTTGGGAATGGTCAAAGGCTTCAGGTGCTCCATGCCCATAGCTGGCAACACACACTGAGATGCTCCACTGCAATATACACCTGCCACTCCTTCCCAGCTGGCATCAGTTCACAAACCTGCTGCTCCCTCCATTGTGCCAGGCCAGCCAGATGGCAGCCCCGCCTACAGCAGCTACAGGAGCATAACACAGAGGCTCCTCCTTGCACACACGGCCCACAGGCCCTGGGAGCAGAGGCAGGCACTACAGCCCGGAAGCAGGAAAGAGCTCTTTCCTCCTGGCAGGCACTGGTGCCGCTCACCTGCAGCCCCTGCCATCTCTAAAGGTGCTGGGCAGCTCCAGAGAGTAGAGTTTCTGGGCACTAGAGGGTGCCACCAACACAAACTTATTATTCCATAGTAACCATTACAGCTATGAAACAGCAAGAGAATCTACTATGAACCAAAATCCCACAAACAAAAGAAAGAGGGCTAAGTGAAACTAAAATCAATCACTAATCTTTCTGATAAGGATTTCAAAATAAAAATCATAAACATTCTCACCAAAATAAAGAAAAGTATTCAAGAACTCAGGGAGGACTTCAGAAAGAGATAGAAACTTTGAAAAATACATTATCTAAAATGAAACACAAAATGGAGGGATGTAAAAGCAGATTAGATAAGGTAGAGGAGATGGTAAATGAAATGTAAAAGCAGATTAGATAAGGTAGAGGAGATGGTAAATGAAATAGAAATTAAAGAACAGGAATACAAAGAAGCTGAGGCACAGAGAAAAAAAGGATCTCTAGGAATGAAAGGATAATAAGACAACTCTGTGAAGACTCCATATGGAACAATATTTGCACTATAGGGGTACCAGAAGAAGAAGAGAAAGAAAAGTGGATAGAAAGTGTCCTTGAGGAAAAAGTTGCTGAAAACTTACCCAATCTGGGGAAGGAGATGGTCTCTGAGGCCATGGAAGTGCACAGATCTCCCAACACAAGGGACACAAGGAAGACAACACCAACACATATAATAATTAAAATGGCAAAAATCAAGGACAATAACAGAGAATTAAAAGCAGCCAGAGGGAGAGAAAAAGATCACATACAAAGGAAAATCCTCAAGCTGTCAACAGACATCTCAGCAGAAACCTTACAGGCCAGAAGGGAGTGGCATGATATCTTCAATGCAATGAAACAGAAGGACCTAGACCCAAAAATACTATACCCAGTAAGATTATTATTTAAATTTGAAGGGGAGATTAAACAATTTCCAGATAAGCAAAAGTTGAAGGAATTTACCTCCCACAAACCATCTCTACAGTGTATTTTGGAGGGACTGCTATGGATGGAAATACTCCTAAGGCTAAATACCTGTCGCCAGAGAAAATAAAACCACATTAAGGAAAGTAGACCAATTAATTACTAGATAAATGAAAAATTAAATCAAATACCCACAAATTCAGTCAAGGGATACACGAAGTGTACATAATATGACACCTTATACATAAAGAGTAGAGGAGGAAGAAAAAAAAAGAACCTTTATATTGTGTTAGAAATAACACACTAACTGAGTTCAGTTAGATTGTTAGAGAGTAAACAACCTACCCTTGAATATTTTGGGACCACAAATCTAAAACCTGGAATGGCAATAACTAACTATCTATTGATAATCACCCTAAATGTAAATGGACTAAATGCACCAATCAAAAGATATAGAATGGATAAAAAAGCAAGACCCATCTATATACTGCCTAAAAGAGACTCATTTCAAACCCAAAGACATATACAGACTAAAAGTGAATAGATGGAAAAAGATATTTCATGCAGATAATAGAGAGAAAAAAAGCAGGAGTTGCGGTACTTCTATCAGACAAAATAGAATTTAAAATAAAGAAAGTAACAAGAGACAAAGAAGGACATTATATAATGATAAAGAGGACAGTCCAACAAGAGGATTACCATTATAAATATCTATGTACCCAACACAGGATCACCTACATATGTGAAACAAATACTAACAGAATTAAAAGGAGAAATAGAATGCAATGCATTCATTTTAGGAGACTTCAACACACCACGCACAACAAAGGCAGAACAACCAGACAGAAAATAATGAGACAGAGGCACATAACAACACATTAAACAGATAGAACTAACAGACATCTACAGAACACGTCACCCAAAAGCAGCAGGATACACATTCTTCTCAAGAGCACACAGAACGTTTTCAAGAAGAGATCATATACTAGGCCACAAAAAGAGCCTCAGTAAATTCAGAAGGATTAAAATTGTACCAACCAGCTTCTCAGACCACAAAGGGATGAAACTAGAAATAAATTACGCAAAGAAAACAAAAAATACCACAAACGCTTGGAGGTTTAACAACATGCTCCTAAATAATCAATGGATGAGTGACCAAATAAAAACAGAAATCAAGCAATATATGGAAACAAATGACAACAACTCTGTGGGACACAGCAAAGGCCATGCTAACAGGGAAGTATATTGCAATACAGACCTACCTCAAGAAAGAAGAACAATCCCAATTAACTGCCTAAAGTCACAAAGAAAATGTGAGGCCCTAAGTCAGTAGAAGGAGCGACATAAAAAAGATTAGAACAGAAATAAATAAAATCAAGAAGAATGAAACTATAGAAAGAATCAATGAAACCAGGAGCTGGTTCTTTGAGAAAACAAACAAAATCAATAAAGCCCTAGCCAGACTTACCAAGACAAAAAGAGAGTCTACACGCATAAACAGAATCAGAAATGCAAAAGGAAAAATCACTAAGGACACCACGAAAATACAAAGAATTACTAGAGAATACTGTTAAAAATTATATGCTAACAAATTGGGTAACCTAGAGGAAATGGACAACTTTCTAGAAAAATAAAGCCTTCCAAGACTGACCCAGCAAGAAATAGAAAATCTGAACAGACCAAACTAGCATTGAAATTGAATTGGTAATCAAAAAACTACCTAAGAACAAAACACATGGACCAGATAGCTTCACCACTGCATTTTATCAAACATTTAGTGAAGACCTAATACCCATCTTATTTAAAGTTTTCCAAAAAGTAGAAGAGTGAATACTTCCAAGCTCATTCTATGAGGCCAGCATCACCCTAATACCAAAACCAGGCAAAGACACCACAAAAAAAAGTAAACTACAGACCAATATCCCTGATGAACAAACATACAAAAATACTCAACAAAAAAATAGCAAACCAAATTCAAAAATACATCAAAGAGATCATCCAACATAATCAAGTAGGAATTATTCCAGGGATGCAAGGATGGTACAATATCAAAATCCATCAACATCATCCACCACATCAACAAAAGGAAGAACAAAAATCACTTGATCATCTCCATAGATGCTGAAAAAGCATTCATCAAAATTCAACTCCCATTCATGATAAAAATTCTCAACAAAATGGGTATAGAGGGCAAGTACCTCAACATAATAAAGGCCATATATGACAAACCCACAGCCAACATCATACTTAACAGCGAGAAGCTGAAA